GCACGCACGCACGCACACACACTCACCTCACTTACTCACTCACTCACGCACTGACACACACTGACTGACTGACACTGACACTGACCGACCGATATCGGCCTGGGGCATTTTGGGCAGGATACCTTCGCCGTGGGCTCTGCACATCTCGCGGCAAAGATCACAGGAGAGCTGCCCGCAGCAGCTTTGAGGCAGTGGCTCCTGGCTAGCAACAGCGTCAACCACTCCTTAGCAGAACATGAGGCGCCGATAGCTGCGTACAAGCCTTTGGGAGGTTGGGGGCAGGAGGAAGACAGCCGGCTACATCAAATGGCCGGGGCGTTGGTGGTGTTGAGGAACCCTGATCCCTTGTTGGCGGATGTACTTCGGGAAGTCCTGCGACGGCCTGCAAGCCAGATGAAGTCCAGCAAAGCCGTGGCGCTCTACGGTCTTCAGGCAGTGCGCTTGCTCAGCGAGGCCGGCGCTATTTGCACGTCCACGCCTCTCAGCGAGGCCTCCCTGACCAGCGAGTTGGAGAGGCAATTGGAGGTGAAGTCTGGAAGAGTTCGACGGCGCTCGAAGTTGGAGACCGCGGTTGGGGAGGCCTTGCAGCGCTGCGGCTTCGAGCCCGTGCACGACGTGCTGGCTGGCCCGGGCCTTTCTGCAGACTTTCGTTGTCTTCGCCGTGGTCGGAGCTTCTTTGTGGAGGCGCAGCGAGTTGGGTTTGGAGATGCTTCTATATTTTAGAGTTGCATTCCTTGCTCGTCGGTTCAAAAGAGTTGAGGCTGCAAAGGCATTAATACTGGAGGATCCTGCATGGCAAGACCTAACAGGTAACAGATGAACGGGTTCTGAACTCCCTTTTGGCCTATGTTGAGAACGTTTCCTCATCCATGATCTCTTCTTGTTATCTAGAAGTCTTGGTTAATTTCGACATACGTATTATAAATCCCACACATATGTACATACAGTGTTACATACATGCCTTTTTGTTTTACTTAGTGCTATATATATATATATACACATATACACACACACACATATATATATATACATGTGTGTGTAGATGTGCACATATCTACACACACATTTACATACATATATATATATATGCTAACCCCC